CACAGATTCGGACAAGACGAACCAGATACTAGATCCGTTTTGCGGCAAAATCACTATGCATTTTAAACTCTGCAATATGTTCATCCACATGATCCTCCATACTCTCTGTTTCTTCAATAGTTAGGGAAAAGATGAAACAGAGGATCCCAATCTGATGTTGGAAACATTTCAGGGTAATCAAGAAAGATCCTGCTTTGAGATCTCTTTCTCGGAAAAATCACTCTGCAATGTGTTTTGTTCCTGATATTTACACGTTTTCGTCTCTGCTGTTATCACTATTACGAGTGAAAAAATCTGTACTGTAATTTTGGCTGCCAAAAGCCATTCTTCTAAACAATCTTATTTCTGCAGACTGCTCAGCTGAGTTAATGATCTCGCTTTCGCCTAGTCTCATCCCGTTGGTGAGGTCTTCCTCCGCTAGACTGTCGAAAGCTCTCACAATCTGTCAAATGATTTCAGTTTAAGAGCTTCTTAGGACAAATTTGATCTGGAAAGAAGAAAGAATGTTCGAGTTTTTGTAAAGAAAATGTGTGTACTTGACTCATGCGAGGTCTCTTTGCAGCTGCATGGCGAATACAGGCTGCCGCTGCTTCAATCATTCTAAACATTTCAGCGTCAACATAGTTTCCTCCCAGCTTCGGATCTGCTAAAGCTTTGAACTCTTCGGTTTCAATGGCATGACTAAGCAAAGGACGAGCCTGGAACATTCAACGCAAACATTGAATTTAAGGAAGAGTTGCATTCTCAAAAGTTTAAATGATTATTTATGGCATACCCATTCAACAAGGCTCTCATCTCCCAGAGGTTGGGATGTATCCACGGGCTTACGTCCAGTGATTAACTCCAGTAGAACAACCCCAAAGGAGAACACATCTGATTTCTCGGTTAACTTGCCACTTGATGCATATTCAGGAGCCATGTACCTGAAATCATTTACCAATCGTTTGCTGGATGCAAGATTTGCAACATATATGGAAAGAAGTTTTCCTCCTGAGCAATGTCATATGGAACCTTAACCAGCACCTACCCGAATGTTCCCATAACCCGAGTTGTAATATGTGTGTTACAATCAAGAGCTAGCTTTGCAAGGCCGAAGTCAGAAACCTATAGAATGAGAGATTAGACACTGTTAAAACCCATGATCTTAATTAATCAGCAGCTTTGCAATTCAGAAGGGCAGATAAATGTGTACCAGAGGGTGAAAGTTATTCTCTAAAAGAATGTTGGATGATTTGATGTCCCTGTGTATGATACGCGGATGACCTGCCAAATTTAACCATTAAGATCATTCAAATAATTTAGTCCCCAAGAACCATATAAAAAAAAATGTCAAGAGACAATTTGATTCAGGAACTTTTTTCCATAAATTTTGGAAGAGACATAGCAACCTACAATCTTCATGAAGATAAGCTAATCCACGGGCCGCACCAGCAGCGATTTTAACACGCGTTGCCCAGTCCAGACCTGGAGTTCCTGCGCCTAAATACCATAGAAAGATGGTATAAGTAACAGTGGTTAGCGTTAATGATGATTATATGTCTTGAAATCTTGCTTACCATGAAGGTGGAAGTAAAGATTGTTGTTAGGGACATAATCATAAATAAGCAATCTCCGGTTTTCAGAAATGCAGTATCCAACCAAAGAAAGCAAATTCCGGTGATGTACCCTGCTTATGGTCTCAACCTCGGCTTTGAACTCTCGATCACCTTGTCCTCCACCTACTTTTAATTGTTTCACAGCGACCACTCTTCCATCTGGTAAGACCCCTTTATACACACAACCAAATCCACCTTCACCCAATAGATTTTCATCTGAGAATCCATTTGTTGCATTGACAAGTTCTTCGTATGAGAACAGTTCCTTCGATTGACCAAAGCCACCAGGTTCTGATTGTGAAAAAAATGTTTGATTGCTAGAACGAATCCCCACTAGAGGTGCGGAAGACTGCGTCTTCAGAAGCGCTGAATCTGGACAAGAAAGATATAGAGATGACAATCCAGATATATACATATCAATATGGACCATAACTGAGAACTCTGACACAAAGTATCTTAATCTCTAAATAACCATGAACTCTTAGTGAGAAGTAAAATTTCCTATATATAAGCATTGTACCATCAACATATACAAGGGGACTTCTTTCTGCCATGCCACTGCCTAATGAATTAAAAGAAAGAAACCTTTGGAATACATACCTGATCTTGGCGACGAGGTCATAGGTGATGGCATAACAAAGCCACCACCAACAGCGGAGAGCCTCTTTTTTCGTCTCATCAAGCACCAGACAACAACTCCGATAAGACTAAGCAGCAGAAGAGCCACCCCAATACTAACACCCACTAAAGCCGCTGTACTGATACTCGAATTATCTGAACCTGGTAGAGAACTTCTAGTAGGAGGAGAAGGTGGTGAAGGCAATGTTGGTGATGAAGAAGAATTTGAAGGTAAGGGGAGTGGACTTGATTTGGGAGGTTGGAGAATTTCCTCTGGTGGAGGATGTGAAGAATGCACAGGACGTTCTGAATCACGTGGAGGAGGAGGAGGAGGTAGCACAGGATGTTTTGAATCTTGTGGAGGAGGAGGAGGAGGAGGTAGCACAGGACGTTTTGAATCTTGTGGAGGAGGAGGAGGAGGAGGTTCTGAATCTCGTGGGGGAGGAAGAGGAGGTTTTGAAGGAGGTGAATGAGAAGGGCGTCCTGAGGCTGGTGGGGAAGGAGAAGGACGAGGAGAAGAAACTGCTTGCGGGGGTGGAGATGGAGGAGGAGGGGGAGGACGTTCTGAATCTCGTGGTGGAGGTGGAGGTGAATTTGTTGGTGGGTTCAATGTAGGTGGTGAAGGAGAGGTTTCCGGTGGTGTAGATGATGGTGGGGGTGGTGAAATAGCAGGCTGATCAAGCTGTGGAGATGGAGGAGGAGAGCTCTCAGATGGTGGTGGCAAGTTTGTTGGCGGGTCGGGTGATGAAGGAGTAGGAGGAGGAGCTCCAATTGGTGGAGGTGAGGGAGAAGGTTCCGGTGGTGGGGATGATAACGGAGGAGGAGAAGATTGAGTTGGAGGGTCTGGGATCTCCGGTGAATTGCCATTAATAGGCTCTCTGGTCGGAGAGATGGCATTATCACCGGGAGACAAAGATTCCACTGGTGGAGGCGGTGCAACCTCCTCCATAGGAGACTGTACAGGTGTTTCCATCTAAACCAAAACACCAAATTCTAACATTTGTCACCTAAATTCCCAGAGTTGAGTATGACAGTGAAGCACCAAACTTCACCAACTAAAACCACACGTCACGTCAACACTGTTTGCTGCTCTTTAGATTTAAGCCCTAAGAATTGCTCATTCCAAGATTACCTGATTTGATGACAACTTCAGATCTCTCTGTACAATAGCTTTTCCTTCCACACCACTATTCACCCAACTCTGTAGTTAGCCATTAAAGCCTACCTACGGCTAAGTTGTCTCTCGTTTTTGGACCTCATTTGAGATTGCAGACAAAATCTGGAAAGCCGTTTCTGTGGAAGAAGAAGATAAAAGAACCAAAAGTGGGATGATGAATCAAAAGTATATTGTGGGCAAAGCAAGCGATAGGAAAATTACAAAATTCATAATAAGGATGTTAAAAGACAAATCAATTAATATAAGACTCTTTTTATGCATCATAAAAGAAGAATGAATGCTTTACTACAACGTCAAATCAACGGTCAAACAAATTAATACTTTTTTTATTTCTTACTTATTTTGCTATCAAGATAAACGAACACCTCAAGATATGATTGGTAACTGGCGATTATGATGTGCAGTTCTAGTCATTTTTGTTCAATTCGTATTATTTTACTTACAATGATTTCAAAGTCTTTACCAAATTATAAATATTCATTTTTTTTACTTTAATATTTTGTTTTTTAATTTAATATTTTTAACAATCATTATACGAGCAAAACCGCCCTAGATAATAAGAAAAATGGTTGTAACCTACCCGAAGTATGGGGTAATATGTAGAAAACTATCTGAAATATAAAAATGTGTTTTAAACTACACCAATTAATTAAAAATGTGCTTTAAACTACACGAAATATGAAAAAATATGTTGCGAACAACATATTGGATTTTTAAAACTTAAAACGTGATTTTAGGGCCAAATTATAATTAAATTTTCTTAAACCCGATTTAATCAAATATCCGATCCGATCAATCACTTAACCCGACCCGGTTCAGATTATCATTTTAACTGGACCATATTAATTTGACCCAATATTTTTCTAAAACACAAAAACGAAGACATATATACAAATGTCGTGAATTATGTGGAAACAGAGAAAACAAAGCAAAAAATATAACTTATAGTTGATTAAAATATCAAAATATCGTTAGTTTGAATAATAAACATAACAATTTAGCCTATCAGCTTTTAACAAATTTCAAACCAAAAACAAACTTAGCCAAGTAATTTTAGCAAAAGAAAACAAATACAATGATAAATAACGATATTTTGATATTTTAACCAGAATACTTGGCTAAAATTTGAAAACTGGTTATACAATGATAAACACGCAATTTCGTTTTCAAAGGTAAGATCGTAGTGTTCTTGATTTGAGGAAATTGGATGAACAGAGTGTTAGGAGAATAGATGGGCATGACGTGAAGGATAGGGGGAAGAACCCATGACGTGTTTATCATAGCTTGGAAGCCAACATATATGAACAATCAAAACAACAAAAATGGAAATCCAATCTAGTCCAAAACTCCTATACAGATTTCAAACGTAATTCTAATAGGATATAACTCAATCACTTTGCAATAAAGCTCACATGGTTTATAACCAAATACAAAATGCAAATGAGCCACATGAGAGTCTNCTAGTGGTCGGGTCGGATATTTGATTAAATCGGNTTTAAGAAAATTTAATTACAATTTGACCCCAAAATCACGTTTATTAAGCTTTAAAAACCCAATATGTTGTTTGCAACATGTTTTTTCATACTTCGTGTAGTTTAAAGCACATTTTTTTAAATTGATGTAGTTTAAAGCACATTTTTATACTTCAAATAGTTTTCTACATATTACCCCATATTTCGGATAGGTTACCACCATTTTCCCAAGATAATATAAATTAGCTCTTTTAACCATAAGTGAAACGTACAACCATTGATCAGCAAACTGTTGGATTTATTCCCAAGTCCCAACCACTGAGCAAACAAAAGATATACTTTTTTGATAAAGATATGTACTGTTGTTTCATAATAAACTTTTGACCCAAGAT